GCTCCCTCTTATTCCTATCCTCATATCCGAAATAGACAAGGATGCACCACAGCACCGGTCTTCCTTTGCAGATGACACCCGAACCTGCATACAGTGTCTTCCATTGCAGACACTGCAGGCTCCGCGACATCAACCAAATCTTCAGTGGGCTGCAGAAACAGTATGAAGTTCAAGATGAAATTTAATTACTCAAATGGTAACACGAGGAAATTAAATCTCATCAAGTACAAAAAAAATTTCTGCCACAAATGGGAGCGAAAACACAACGTAAAAGACTGGGAGTGATCATGTCGGAGATCTCACCTTCAAGGACCATAACATTGTATCAATCGCATCGCTAGAAAAATGACAGAATGAAAATGAAACCTTCAAAACTGGGATGCCAAGCCCATGATGACACTCTTCAGGTCACTTGTTCAAATCAGGCTGGAATATTGCGCACACTAACAGCACCTTTCAAAGCAGGTGAAATTGCCTGACCCTAGAAATGTACGGAGAACCTTCACGGCGCGCATAACGGAGATAAAACACCTCAATTACTGGAGCGTTTGAGGTTCCTAAACCTGAATTCCCGGGGAATCAGACGGAGAGATACATGATTATATACACCTGGAAAATCCTAGAGGGACAGTACCAAAACTTGCACACGAAATAAACCCACTACGAAAGCAAAAGACTGGGCAGACAAAGCAACATCCCCCCAATGAAAAGCAGGGTCACTAGCACGTTAAGAGACCAATAAAAGTTCGGGGCCCCGAGACTGTTAAACGCTCCCAGCATACATAAGGGGATTACCAGCAGACCCCTGGCATCTTCAAGCGGGCACTGACAAGAAACCTAAAGTCGGTCCGGGACCAGCCGGGCGTGGCTGGGTACTTTGGGTTTGGCGTGCAGCCAGCAGTAACAGCCGGGTTTGATCAGGCTCGATCCAACCGGGGCCTGGGTCAAGACCGGGCCGCGGGGCTTTTGACCCCCGGAACTCTCTCCAGGTAAACCCCCCGGGCAATATCATATCAACATCATCATATCAACCACAGGTAGTAGGTGGTGAACAGCAACCACCCGGAAGTACACCGTCCTGCCAGATACGGAAACAGAAACAGTAACTGTTTTGCATGATGATAGGAATGCTGGTTTTTTTCTGTCCAAAAAACCTAGATAACAGGGATATCTTGCTACTCCTACTTACAACTTTGGTCACATTTACAGACAACGAAACATGCATATATTACATACATCTGGGTTTTCTCCTCTTTCTAAATAGCTTTTGTTCTTCTTTTTTTTTCTATTGTCCATGGGAATGAAAGAATCTTTCCTCCGAACCCATGCGTGTCGTATGAGGCGACTAAAATCCCGGAGAAAATGGGCTAGTAAACCCCTCTCCTGTAGACATTTACTAAAAAAGAGAAGAAGAAAAACTTTAAAAAAACTGGGATGCTTAAATGTGCGGGGAAATGTATGCGGATGACAAGAAACAGATGATTGCTGATGTTATGAATGAAAAGAATTTGGGATGTCCTGGCCCTAAGCGAAACAAAGCTAAAGGGGGGTAGGGGAGTTTCGGGGGGGGGAAAAAAAATGGGATTAAATCTGGATATCTGAGAGAGTTTAGAGCAAAGGAAGGGGTAGCAGTAATGTTAATGATCATTATGGAAGGAGAAAAGAGAATATGAATTGTAAATTCAAGAATTATGTGGATTAAAGTAAAGGTTGGGTGCCAAAAGTGGTCATAATAAGCGTTGTATGCACCTGGAGAAGAGAGGAATGCAAGGAGAGAGAGAGATTTTGGGAGATTTTCAAGTGAATGTATAGGAGCCTTTGAACCAAGTGAGAGAATAATTGTGGTAGGGGACATGAATGCTAAAGTAGGAGAAACTTTTAGAGAGGGTGTGGAGGTAAGGGTTTTGGGGTGCCAGGTGTAAATGATAATGGGAGCCCTTTGATTGAACTTTGTATATAAAGGGGTTTAGTATAGGTAATACATTTTTTAAGAAAAAGAGGATAAATAAGTATACAAGAATGATGTAGGGCGAAATGACAGTAGATTTGTTGGATTATGTATTGGTAGATAAAAGACTGTTGAGTAGACTTCAGGAATGTACATGTTTATAGAGGGGCCCCAGATATATCAGATCACTTTCTAGTTGTAGCTACACTGAGAGTAAAAAAAAAGGGAAGATGGGATACAAGGAGAACAGAAGCATCAGGGAAGAGAGAGGTGAAGGTTTATAAACTAAAAGAGGAGGCAGTTGGGTAAGATATAAACACTATTGGAGGATAGATGAGCTAATGAGAGCAAAGCAATGGGGTCGAAGAGGTATGGGTAGATTTAAAAATGTAGTGTTAGAGTGTTTTAGCAGAAGTTTGTGGTTACAGGAAAGTGGGTGCGGGGGGGAAGAGGAGCGATTGGGAATGATGATGTAAAGAGAGTAGTAAGGGAGAAAAGTTAGCATATGAGAAGTTTTTACAAAGTAGAAGTGATGCAAGGAGGGAAGAGTATATGTAAAAAAGAGAGAGGTTAAGTGAGTGGTGAAGCAATGTAAAAAGAGAGGCAAATGAAGAAGTGGGTGAGATGTTATCAACAAATTTTGTTGAAAAAAAAGAAAAAGTTTTGGAGTGAATTAACAAGTTAAGGAAGCCCTAGAGAACAAATGGATTTGTCAGTTAAAATAGGAGAGGAGAGTTATTAAATGGAGAGCTAGAGGTATTGGGAAGATGGAGGGAATATTTTGAGGAATTGTTAAATGTTGATGAAGATAGGGAAGCTGTGATTTCGTTTTATAGGGCAAGGGGAATAACATCTTGTAGGAGTGAGGAAGAGCCAGTTTTTGAGTGTGGGGAAGTTCGTGAGGCAGTAGGTAAAATGAAAGGGGGTAAGGCAGCCGGGATTGATGGGATAAAGATAGAATGTTAAAAGCAGGTTTGGGGGTATAGTTTTGGAGTGGTTGGTGCAATTAATTTAATAAATGTAAAGGAAGAGGGTAAGGTACCTAGGGATTGGCAGAGAGCATGCATAGTTTCCTTTGTATAAAGGCAAAGGGGACAAAAGAGAGTGCAACAATTATAGGGCATAAGTCTGTTGAGTATACCTGGTAAAGTGTATGGTAGAGTTATTATTGAAAGAATTAAGAGTAAGACGGAGAATAGGAAGCAGATGAACAAAGAGGCTTTAGGAAAGGTAGGGGGTGTGTGGAACAGGTGTTTACAGTGAAACATATAATGAACAGTATTTAGATAAGGCTAAAGAGGTCTTTGTGGCATTTATGGATTTGGAAAAGGCGTATGACAGGGTGGATAGGGGGGCAATGTGGCAGATGTTGCAAGTGTATGGTGTAGGAGGTAGGTTACTGAAAGCAGTGAAGAGTTTTTACGAGGATAGTGAGGCTCAAGTTAGAGTATGTAGGAAAGAGGGAGATTATTTCCCAGTAAAAGTAGGCCTTAGACAAGGATGTGTGATGTCACCGTGGTTGTTTAATATATTTATAGATGGGGTTGTAAGAGAAGTAAATGCGAGGGTCTTGGCAAGAGGCGTGGAGTTAAAAGATAAAGAATCACACATAAAGTTGGAGTTGTCACAGTTGCTCTTTGCTGATAACACTGTGCTCTTGGGAGATTCTGAAGAGAAGTTGCAGAGATTGGTGGATGAATTTGGTAGGGTGTGCAAAAGAAGAAAATTAAAAGTGAATACAGGAAACAGTAACGTTATGAGGATAACAAAAAGATTAGGTGATGAAAGATTGGATATAAGATTGGAGGGAGAGAGTATGGAGGAGGTGAATGTATTCAGATATTTGGGAGTGGACGTGTCAGCGGATGGGTCTATGAAAGATGAGGTGAATCATAGAATTGATGAGGGGAAAAGGGTGAGCGGTGCACTTAGGAGTCTGTGGAGACAAAGAACTTTGTCCTTGGAGGCAAAGAGGGGAATGTATGAGAGTATAGTTTTACCAACGCTCTTATGTGGGTGTGAAGTATGGGTGATGAATGTTGCAGCGAAGAGAAGGCTGGAGGCAGTGGAGATGTCATGTCTGAGGGCAATGTGTGGTGTGAATATAATGCAGAGAATTCGTAGTTTTTAAGTTAGGAGGAGGTGCGGGATTACCAAAACTGTTGTCCAGAAGGCTGAAGAAGGGTTGTTGAGGTGGTTCGGACATGTAGAGAGAATGGAGCGAAACAGAGTGACTTCAAGAGTGTATCAGTCTGTAGTGGAAGGAAGGCGGGGTAGGGGTCGGCCTAGGAAAGGTTGGAGGGAGTGGGTAAAGGAGGTTTTGTGTGCGAGGGGCTTGGACTTCCAGCAGGCATGCGTGAGCGTGTTTGATAGGAGTGAATGGAGACAAATGATTTTTAATACTTGACGTGCTGTTGGAGTGTGAGCAAAGTAACATTTATGAAGGGGTTCAGGGAAACCGGCAGGCCGGACTAGAGTCCTGGAGATGGGAAGTACAGTGCCTGCACTCTGAAGGAGGGGTGTAAATGTTGCAGTTTAAAAACTGTAGTGTAAAGCACCCTTCTGGCAAGACAGTGATGGAGTGAATGATGGTGAAAGTTTTTCTTTTTCGGGCCACCCTGCCTTGGTGGGAATCGGCCAGTGTGATAATAAAAAAAATAATAATAAAACCAACATTATAAGTACTTATGAGCATTTATTGCCGTTGTAGTCAGCTGACTACAACTAACATTACTACTACTACTACTACTACTACTACTACTACTACCATCACTACTGCTACTACTAATACTGCAACGTTACCAACAATTCTACAACCATAAGCACCAACACCACCACACTAGCCTACCAAATCCACAACCAATTTAACTCCTGCCATAACACCAAATCCGTCACCAAAACTATAACACAACCACCATCATCCAACCACCAACATTAATGTCAGTCATATTAAATTCTCACCGATCATATCACCATCCACCCACCACCATCCAACCACTATCACCACCACCACCATCGGTAGCACTACTAACATATTCTCTCTCCCACACAG